AAGCGAAAAGCATTTACATGTACTAGTATACAAGGCAGAATTTGAAACGTCAAAAAAAAGACCAGCAGCTCTCTGATTGGTTGGGTCACAGTTCATCAACCCCTTAGACTGTTCCTGATTGGTTACGCAACCACAGTGTTGAGAGAACTGTGGTTGGGTAGCCAATCAGGCACAATCTAGATATCCCAGCACTGACTCGGGATTCATTCCATTCACTTCACACTGACTTGGTGGAACAAATCGTCACGGAGTCTAGTCCTGGACTTTGTTTATTAATTGAAGCGTGGTGGTCGTCGCGCAGCGTCTGTTCAAATTTCATGTTAATAAACAATGTATTTTACACGCGTTGTATACGTCGTTATGAGTCCCATATCGAACAGGACGCGGCACGACGACTGCCGATCTTTAACGTAAAAGCCTACTCATTGCTGAAAATACTCGTGTTTTTTTTTCAACCAATTGCAATAAATTGTACCCCCTCTATGCAAGAAAGGGCGAGAAAATTATATTTTAGTGAATGGTAGTCTTTACAGCATTTAACATTATGAGAAATTAACCATTGCTTGAATATTGTATTTTGTTCTGCGAAACTAGACCAAAATAGCATTTTTAGTGATTTTACCAATTTTCTCGATATACAGTACTGAAACACACAGCAGAATATTCCTACATACAATTCTAGTTCCATTTAATTAATAACCCAGGCAATTTATAGCTTCCTCAACATTTATGTCTAGCCTTTGTGAGTTTCGACAATTGGTTAGGCAGTTACGTTTGATTTGTGTGAAATGGTGAATTGATGAATAGTGTCAGTCCGGAACGTACTGCACCAGTTTGCGTAAGAAATATTTAGGTTACCTTACATGTCAAGGGATACTGATTGATTATTTCAAAAAGTTTAAAGCGGACATTATTCTTGCTGTGCGCATTTGAATTTCGTGTAGACAGACTAAGTATTTCACACACATTACACCCACGAATACGATCGCGACGCGGTGCTGTGACGTCAGTGGCGATTTAATATTGTAATTTCTCTATTATAATAGCTTCTCCGAATTCACACGTGTGGTTTCTGAATCTCTTGTGTGTTAATTTTAAAATAACATTTTTTTTTTATAATATTCCTTTGTAATTGATAGGGAGTGGAAGAAATTTGTTGGCATTTTTTTTTCGTACGCGCCTGGTGGCAATTCGTTCATATATAGTCGCAAGTTTGTTTTCACCGAAAAACACAATCACAATCTCCTTACATTTGTAATGCCTTTTTTCAGATTTCATATGGGCAACCCCAGCAATGTAGTAAGGGGTTCCTAACACACTGATAGTATGACATAGAAGTCCCGGATGTACTCTTATTATTGAAATTGGGACGTTAACCATTGACCCCGGCAAAAAACACAATCACATCCTCCCTGCATATTTAATGCAATTTTGTTTCAGATTTCATATGGGCAATCCTAGCCATGCGGTAAGGGGGTACTCTTATTATTGAAATTAGGACGTTAAACCGGCCGATTAATATGTCACCGTCAACACGTGAGAATGGTCTATAAATAGTATTATAATATGCTTTATATTATTCCACCCTACTTAGAATGCCAGTAGGTGAGATTGAAAGAATGGTAAATAGTTTGACCCCGGAAGTTTGATCTGTAATCTGATTCGTCGGTGTGTTTTACCGATCCCGCATATTGGTAGTGTGCCCCCCCCCCCCACCACAACCGCGGCCTTCTATTTACCTCACATCGACACACTGCACCACGACTCAGCAACGATAGCAATAGCAGTCACCGCGTAAATATGAAATGATATTGACATCAAACAGGTGTTTATTTGCGCAATAAAAACCTCCCGTCGCGTCGGTAATACTTTTGTAATTGTGAATACATTATATGGTGATGATGACGTCATCATACGAGACCTAGATAAAAAGACAATACAGGACATGCCGCGTCAGTCAGTCGTAGTCGTGACGTCCGTCAGATGTCCTAAATGAGCTTCAGCTTAATAAATTAGCCTATTCCGCGCGCAAAAATAACGTCGTCGGGTACATAGACTGTCACAGTATATGTGATTGATTTTGGCACCCCTAACCCTACAAGCACTTCCCTTGATGACCAATGAACCCTGCTAACCGCGAGCACTCATCTGGGATAACTTGATACGACACTTTGTATCGCTCCCTGTTCCATTTCGAAAACAAGTAATCCTCACGCAATGAGACATTTGTTGCTCAAAATATTAAATTAAAAATAAAAGTTCTTACAATATCGTAGTATGTACATTATTTTCCTGTAATGTTTATGTTTGGTAATACCTAACTTAATAAAAACTTTTTGTTGTATTCAAACAAGTATCAAATTTAATTTGGTTGCTGACGTATTTCCAGGCTGCTACAAGTGGTTGGCGTGTCACACTTACAGCGTCGCTCTGTATGTTTTGCAGTTTTCGCAATGAGCGTGTTCCATCTTCCATCTCGTTGCGTGTCTGGCACAATCTCTTCATATTTCTATTTTGGATTTCTTATGTCTGTTAAGTTCTATTTATAGACCGTGTTAGCATAACTCAATTCTTGATTTACGTATTACGTTACATATTTATTTGTTCATGAATCTGGTCTGTTATTGTCACCATTCCATCCAAAGTGTAGAATTTTAAACAAAAGTTCATGAGCTGTCCTTTGATAACGACGCGTGCGTTTGTTTTACATTAGTATATGCCATTGCCATTCTGTTTAGACTGGTTAGCCATGAATCTGGATAGTCTATAATATGAGTATGGGACACAAATCCGAATTATTGTGTTAGGACTGTGTTTTTCTTTTGTTTTCTTTTTACTGGCGATGGCCATTCCTTGTGGGACATAACGCGTGACGATCCGTTTGAGCACAGCACAGAATAAGCACAAAGCTTGTGACGCGTGGCGTGGTACTAGTAGTTGACAACATGGCAACAGTATTAATGAGGAAATGTCCTGATCTTTACAATAAGTGAAATTTTATGAACACTTCCAGAACTTTAATGACATTTCGCTCATCATTGTAAAGATATCTAATTTAATTCTAAGTGCTGACTGAGATTGACAAATTTGTCAACGTGCAAGTTACGTGAACTTTGTCTCACTGACCGGCCACGCCCATTTAGGCCACGCCCACACAAATTCCAACCTATTGTTACAGAGCCAATACTTTCAGGCATTTTCACTTTGTGTTACGGTGTAAAGTTAATTTTGTATTCAATTTAAATTAGTTTTATTTAATCTTTCTGACTAACCTTGCAAATGATAGAAATTTACACCGAAACGAATGGTACATGTCGTTCCAAGGAGCAATTAATCATGAACCGGACCGAGTTGCATCACGGCCAATAGATTGTGTACATGTATAATAATCGCACACTAATCGTGAAATTGAGAACTCGGACACCACAGCGCCACTTGGTGAAGAATGTCATGTTTAGATACCCGGTCAAATCTCAGACTAGTCTGAGGTCAAATTGATGGATGCTAACACGTTGGAAGTCGCGTGTTCTCAGAGGAACACCACATCTATGCGTAATATATCATTTGCCTGGTAATTGGCATGTGATGTACACGTTGTTTAGGTCTTGCAAATTGACTTCGCATCCTGTTTCACGCAAACTCATTTATTACCAAGCATTATCATAAATTCGGAAGCGAAAGTCTGATATTTTATGTGGCGCCACGCACTTCAAGAAGTTCACAGACAGAAACTGTATTGACTATACGTGATTGTCGATGGTTACGGTGGCAACGTGAGATCGTGTCGAATTGGTAACTTGAAAATGACGTCACCAATTGCATCATATGGCGACTGTCACGTTTCGTTTACAGTGACATGCGGGAGTTTTGATCTTTGTGCATGACAGATGGTAAAGTTATAATCCCCGGTTATCAAGCTGCCGGTGCATCCAGACATCAACAATAAACATGTTACCAGCGAATAAAATACCTAACAGAATTATTCCGTAATAAAAGAATGCTAGTTTCTCGGTATTTTGGACGATTTCAACTAAATCGGTTCTACGCGATGTTAACAAAATTCAAATCTCGATATTCGCAATATGAGGTCAATGTAAATATATTGCTCATAGTCAGAGAAAGTTGTTTGTCTAAAACGTTAGCTGTATTGGCTGAATGATGTCGTTATATGGTTAAGCGTGGAATAGAGAGAGGGTCAATATAACTGACACGAGAGACCGCCTAGCGATGCTAACAAGTACAGTCTGTTAATTAATTAAACACACACTATGGTGTGAGTACGCTCATTACTGTGTGAACCGCGTTCTTCATCTCCATGCAGTCGTTGCTCGTTTATAAAGTTCCAGATTCCACCTATATATATACACCATCCTCGTACAACTATTGTACGAGTGATGACCCTCAGACTAGGTACGGCTGAATAGAAGCCATTAAATAGAATACAGAGTGCACATTTGCATTTTATAAAAATAACAAAAAGGCCATTCACGACGGACTTGCTCACGGTTAGCCATTTTAACCATCATCGCCAGGCCTGGAGTTGGGGACAATTAAACGTGCCTAGCGATGACCTACGATATTTGTCAAAATATTAAAAATAGAAACAATTATTCATACTAGCTAGAAAAGGGAGTGGTACACCCCATTATTAATATATGCATCCCCGCCATCTGTGTCATAGTTTTAACACGGACCAGTCATAAACCAGGTTACACACATACGTATTGCGTTGCATCTATGTTAGTGTGTATGTGTATGTGTATATTATAACTTTAAGAAATAGGTATGCACGCATTGTAGGGTGGGACGCTGCTGCTAACCGCACAGAGCGCCATTTCTGTGAATGAAAGGCGACTCAATGATAATACACACTCAATCTAGACGGTATATCGTCGACATTGCACATATATGTTGACCGTGGACTCTGATTTTGTCGGACTATTTAAAGCATAATAACATATCCTGATAAATGCAAGTGCTTTAACGTTCCCGAAGCTTACCTGTTTTCAAGACGGCGTCTGTACGACGTCCGTTGATGTGCTGTCTGCTTTTAAACCGCTGATATCAGTTGCGTTAACGCCAGTACCATCATACCCTCTACCACATGATCGACGAATCTCTACGCAATATATGATATTTAAAGTTCCCGATCGTGGAATGTTATCTGGATTCTCCTCGACTGACGATAAATTCAGCGATGCGAAAACAGTCCAAGGTAACATACAGTGTGTCTAAGCTTTCTCTTGCTATTCAGGAATCGCTCGTTTGTATTGTGGTGCTCATTAACATATTCATGACGTTCGTTTCTACTTTCACTGAAAGCTGACCTCATTTGCATACGTGGGTCACAGAGTCGTATGAAGGTGAATTTTTTTACCTTCACCAACTGAATAGCAGCGCGATGAACGAACAAACAAGTTCAATTGTAAAGGCAAACTTGTGTATAGAAGCCGTTTGATAAATACGTTAAAAGGAATTGTTGAATATGAAGCTGGTGAAGTAAGGTAGTCGGAGTGTTATCTGGAGGCCATTGAATATTTGCACGTCTGTGCCGTTTACAATATACTACACATGTCGGACATGTACGTATTGTTAATTTTCGCTGGTGTTATAAATCATTAAAAATAAAATGCAGTTTTTCATGCACATACCCTAATTAATTACCGATGAAAATAGCCTGTACTGACTGGAGATACATCATTAGATACATACTGAACTACGGGTATAACACAAAATTCAAAATACGTAATATATATTGAAAACTCGTAACAGACAAAATTAAAATACGTAACGCACTGAACACATACGTAATGCAAATAAATATAAGACACATACGGAAATACGTAAGACACATAATGAAAATAACTGAAAATAT